CCTTACTCTTTAAATTCCGCATTTGAGTTATATTTTCCTGTGAATTTTTATAAAACGCTATTCACCCCCCCTCTAGCGTTAAGCACTTATTCTAACAGGTACAATATTTCTTCATGTGATTAGTCCCCTTACAGAAGAAGCAACCTAATTCAGTAATTTCAACCTTAGGTTCCTTATGTTGCTTATTCTGGGGCCTTGCCACCGCAACTTCCTTACCTTTCCTCTTTTTAGTATCCTTAGAAGAGGATGCCAAATGAGCACTATCAGTCTTATCTTGCTTTATCCTTTCCTCCTCTTGCACACAATGTGAAATGAGCTCATTAAGAGTCCATTTCTCCTTCAGGCAGTTGTAACTGACCTTAAACTGATTAAAGTGTGCAGGAAGAGATATCAAAACTAAGTACACAAGCAGTTCCTCAGGTAATACTAGCTTGAGTGACTTTAGTTTTGAAGCAAGATGAGACATTTCCAAAGTGTACTCCCTAATGTTTCCCTTGCCTTTATACCTCATGGAAACAAGTTTACTCAAAAGAGTACTTGTTTCCGCCTTTTCGTTTTGTTCAAAACGCTTTACAAGGTTTTCAAGGAAAACTTTGGCATTAGCTTCATCATTCATAGTGCCCCTGAATGATTCTAGAATTGCACGTTTCATGATCATTAGACTCATGCGATTTGACCGTTCCCACTTCTCCATCTCCTTCTTTTCATCAGAAGAAGATGTATCCCCAAGAGAAGCAGGTTGCTCAATCCGAAGTGCAAGGTCTAGATCCATGCAACCGAGAACGATCATAATGTTCTCTTTCCATTCCTTAAAGTTCGTGCCGTTAAGCACAGGGATGCTATTAATGTTTGCAGATATCGAAGCAGCTGAAGAATTTACTGAAAATAGAACAAGGATAACTTAATACATGCTTACAATTACTTGAGCTTTAACTTTAGTTTTCAGATTCAAAATAGGCAAATCCCATTACAAGATACCTAGCACAACATTGATTTTAGTCTTTGGACAGAAAATCAACTTGTAAGTGGTACTCTTGGTGTAGAAATCAAATATTGACAATAAACTCCTGTCAAATATCAAGCCTTCCTTTGGGCCGACTTCATATTCACATGGAAAACCGAATAATTGTCACATATTTATCACCACAAGCATGTTCGAATTCCTGCCAAATAACAACCTTCCTTTGGGCCGGTGTTAAACGCATGGAAGACTAACATCCACAGTCATCTTATATTTCAAGATCAATCAATCTACACAAAAGAGGTTACTTTGGCAACATAATGCTTCAGTTGACTAATTTAAAATATTAGATGCTAAATCATATATTTCCTTAAGCCATATATTGAATCTTAGCTGAATATGTTACATGTTTTGACATGTAACATCTGAATATTAATTGTTTTTAAACTTAATTGGACAATACCAAAATCTGAAACATGATGGACAAAACTGAATATTAATGTATAAAACATTAAAAATTAAAAACTGAATATTAATTGACATATTATAAATGTACAATTAAAATCTGAAACTTAAAAGACTTGAAACGTTTCATTAATTATGAAAAACATTTCTTACATTATGTCCTCATTAAACAGCCAGAAAACAAAATGTTTCGGCAATTTATGGCCAGATAATAGATTATATGAGCCTGATAATCGATTATCTGGGCCTTCTGGAATCTCAAATTTTGCCGAAAAACTAGGATAATCGATTATCTTGGTTCTCTGGAATTTCTAATTTTGCTGAAACAACTCCAGATAATCGATTATCTCAAAAACATTTGATGAACAAAACAGAATAATCGATTATTTCATAAAAATAGTCGATTATTCTGTGCTACTGTTTTGCAAAATTTTTGGTGAACATTAAAATTTATTCTAGGACCTTTTGCGGCGACGAACGCTGCCAGTAAACCCACAGAAGTCGCTGCTAAATGTATTAGTGGCGACTATGTATTGAAACTGGAAACTGGAGTTGCCGTCACTGAAGGTTATTTGTAGCAACAATTCCTTGTTTAAGTTTCTTGTTGTTCAACAACCAAAATTTTGCAAACTTCAATATTTCAATTCATATAGAGATAACAAGATATTGAAACACCAAAGTTCATCAACAACATAACATTCATGAAATCATGCTATATCATGGTACTAGAATTTCATAATCAAAATTCTATCTTAATTTAAACATGAAGTTTATATAACATGAATTTCATGAACTTCCTGTTAGAATATATGCTCAACGCTAGAGGGGGTGAATAGCGTTTTACGAGAATTATGCGGAATTAAAAATTCTGTTGCGCAAATAAAATA